AAGGTCAAAAATGTGGCTCGTACTGCTGCTGGCAGCACGACCACTGTGGGCCGCACTGGACACTGCTGCTGTGATCGCCATCCAAAATGAGATCAACAAGCACGCGACCGAGTTGGAAATGCTCCTCGAGGTAGCAAATGTCTAGAAGAAGTAGTCCATACAAAATAATTTTAGCATATCAAAAATTTGAATGCACGGGTTAGTGATCTCGGGCGCCCTGGGCCACCAGGTGTCAACGGATCACCAGGCTTCCCCGGATCGAAGGGCGAGAAGGGCGATGCGGGGTTACCAGGTAAGTGATTGACGGGAATCTATCTACCATCTTATCGAGTTTGTTCTGATCTGCCACTGCACACTTTGCCAACCTTTTCTTCTCTCTGCGCCTGCTTTGAGGTGGACAGTTCTTTTATTCTTTTCCATGTGCGAAACACTCGATTATGCGGCTGAGATTTTTCTGAAAAATCGACCAAAAAATGTTATTATGAGTAGATTTTATTTTCAGTTCTATAATACAAATGTCTTCCTCACATCTAGTATTCTTTTACGACTTTCATCACATTTCAAAGGTAAACCTGGTAAGGATGGTATGCAAGGAATCCCGGGCGTCAAAGGGGAACCTGGACCAATGGGTCCCACTGGAATGAAAGGTGATAAGGGCAGCACGGTAAGTCGCTTACTGTTCAGTGAGAAATTGTGCATGATAGCACGTATTTTAGGGCTACCCAGGACAAAAAGGAGAGATAGGAGCTGCTGGAACGCCAGGCAGCAAAGGTGATACGGGTCTGCCAGGAAAAGTGAGTCATTGGTTGCTCTTTGTTTTTTAAACATACAAGATTGAGTGTAGATAGGTGAGCCAGGCACATCCGGAATACCGGGTGCAAAAGGAGAGAAAGGGGCCGAAGGTATGCCAGGAACTCCTGGACAACCAGGGCCCCCTGGATGGCCGGGAATCAAAGGAGATGATGGGCTGAATGGGCGCCCAGGTTAGCCCATTATTCATATTCTACTTTTCCAGCATCAAACTGATTTTGACAGGATCTCCTGGATTTCCCGGCAAGAAGGGCGAGCCCGGATTGGCCGGTATTCCCGGTGCTCCTGGCGTTATCGGAGAGCGCGGACTACCTGGAGCACCGGGTCCGCAGGGCATGATGGGACCGATTGGGCCACCAGGAAAGATTGGACTACCTGGCTCTAGGGGCCCGGAGGTTGGTTTTTCTGATTATACCAGACAGTCATCTATCGCAACTCGTTCATCAGGGCATCCCAGGTCTCCCTGGCCAGAAAGGCGAAACTGGCAAAGATGGTTTGCCTGGCTTACCTGGTATGAATTTTAGGAAATAAGAATGAAAAATAATATGCATATGCTAATGATTCCAGGATGGCTAGTAAATGACAAAGGTTACTGCATACTTGCGCTCGGAAATTGTCCACCATCCTTTACCCAAATTGGAGCTTACCAGGTATGCGTATCGCGTTTTCTTGTTCACATATTTTTAGAAAGCTAAAATCCAATAGAAACAAAAATGGTATTCCTCATGGACTTTGAGGTCTCAGCGTTTGCGGGTACGAAATTTATCGGTAGAACCTCAAAATGTTTTCAAATCGCGATTCTAGAAAAACAAGTTTTTTGAGGCTCTGCAGCTCCTGGTTGTGCAAAGTCTGCTGTTCAGTCGGCCGCTACAGATATTTACATATAGCTCCGAGAGTTTTTGATCTTTTCGAAAGGCGTGACTTGGGATAAAAGAGGCATGGCTCTAATTTCTTAATATACTTCCCAAAATCTTTTGCGGGCTTATATTACTGGGTTATTAAAAAGTGCCGGCGGCAGTCATCATTACCCCGAAGGATTTCACATTGCCATTTTGAACTTATTTTCATAATTTATGTAAATGCTCACGCACAATTACATACTCATATATGGAACTTCTAAATATTACGCGTCTCGTCGAGTGAGGGGAC